TCCCAGCTACTCGGGAGGCTGAGGCAGTAGGATCGCTTGAGCCCAGGAGTTTGAGGTTGCTGTGAGCTAGGCTGACGCCACGGCACTCACCCTAGCCAGGGCAACAGAGTGAGACTCTATCTCAAAAAACAAATAAATAAGAATAATTCATTCTGTACTTTATTGAGTTTTTTGATTTGTATTTTAGAGACTATTTTATAAACACATAATTTTAAAAGCTATGATTTCTCATACTACTTCCTCTTAAAACTTATACCTTATATGTTTTTATAATGAATATATATATTTCTTCTACATTATTTCTTAGGTTTTCATATAAGAGAACAACTATAATTTCAATTCATATAATATTTTTTCACTTCTTTTAAGGGAATGGATCCAATTATACGTCAAGTAGGACAACATATTGAAATGGAACCGGAGTGGGAAGCAGCCTTTACACTACAAATGAAATTAACACATGTCATTTCAATGATGCAGGACTGGTGTGCTTTAGATGTGAGTTTCTTCTAGAGGCGAGTGGATAGGAGGAAAATGGAGGGGGGCGGGTAATAAGCAGATTCCTAAGTAAGTTTTGAGGAGATTTAGAGAAATACTGGTGATACTTAGCTCATAAAACAGCATATTTTCCTTTTCTACCTATAAATTCAGTAAAATCTTAAAACTCTAAAGCCTTAAGAAAAAATTTGAAAAATAAAGGAGGAAATAATCCACATTTTCTCTTCCCTAATATAACTATCTTCATTTTTTTTCTGTAATCCCTTCTAGACTTTGAGAATATAAAAAGTTGATAATTTAGTTTATAATCTCAAAATAAAGTTTTACTATTGGTACATCTGTCCTGTGTCTTAAAATTATTTTGGCTTTCCTTTGGTGATAAAGTCTAGATGAGAGCCTGTGTAAGTTAGGGGTTCAGGGAAGGCTTCCATGAGATCTAAAAAGTGTGTAAAAGTTAACTGAACAAAGAGTAAATAATATTCCTGACTAAGAGAACAGCTGCATCATGCTCTGTGATAAGCAGGGATTCTGGTTGTTCCAGGAGCTATGAGAAGGCTCTGTGGTTAGAGCACAGAGGTAGAGGGCAGAGAGGTGGGCAGGGGCCTGACTTCTCAAGGCCTTAGCCATAAAAAGACATTTGTATTTTACTCTAATTGAAGTGGGAGGCCTTTAGAGACCACCAAACGGAAAAGTAACATGATTCAATTTACATGTTTTTAAAAATTCCTCTATATGGAGAGCGAATAGAGGGGCAAGAGTCGAAGCAAGGAATTTAATAGAGAGATAGTTGGCAATGCCTTAGAGTTACTGGAGATAGAGAAAAGTGGCTAGTTTTGAGAGAAGTTTAGATGATGAAATTGTAGGCTTGATAATAGAGTAGACAATAGGGAATGAGGGAAAGGAGGATATTGGAATAACTTCTAGATTTCCACAGCTATATGGATCGAGGTATTCACTGAGACAGGGGACACAGGAAGAGGGGGGACCAAGTTTGGGAGGGAGGATTGAGTTTGTTTGGTCTTCCCATATTGTTATTTGAGATACTTATTCATCATCAAATTCAAGGTACTTATTCAATGTTGTCGAAACCCAGCCTTTTCAGTAACTTACAGAAAAACCCTCTTTTTTAGGAAAAAGTGTTAATTGAAGCTTACAAGAAATGTCTCGCTGTACTGATGCAGTGTCATAGTGGTTTTACTGATGGTGAACAGCCAATCACACTAAGCATTTGTGGACATTCAGTGGAAACTATCAGATACTGTGTTTCCCAAGAAAAAGTTAGCATTCACCTTCCAGTTTCTCGCTTACTTGCAGGTAAAGCATTTCCCCTAAAAGAGAACCCTAAAATTATCTTTTGTTTGTGGTTAATATTTATGAATACCTACTATGTGCCAGGCATTATTCTGAGAGTTTTACATGCATTAACTTATTTAATCATCACATAGGCCTATGAGGTATGTATTATTAAGCTCACTTCACAGGTGGGACGTAGAGAGTGACTTGTTTAGCGTCACATAGCAAGAAAGAATCAGAGTTGGCATTTTGAG